ACCCTAATTTTTTTGCCATGCTACATGTATCTAAGAGTGACCACAAAAGATGCTATGAATATTTGGGGTTACAAATAAATCTTAGCAAGTAGTCAAATTTGTAAATATAGAACCCACCAATGAGGATTAACTGTACCAATTAGCAGACCTTGACATTTGTGTCAAAAAGTAATACCTAGTTTTCCACAATGGGGTGCTTCCGTTCTGGAATCCACTTGGACAAAAGGGGCTAAACTCAATAGGAGCTTTATGGGAACAATTGAATCTCCCACTTATGTGTAACAGAGTCAAGTACCTTTTGCACAGTCCTTACTTCTGGCATTATCTACTATGCATCCCTGTCTTTTTCACTCTCAGAGGAATCATGTCAGGTAAAATTTCCTTCTCTGGGAAATGTGATGCCGGTATTCCTGGGACAGGGTTCAGATGCAATATCCAGACACCCAATTTGGCCACTTTCCAGAACCCAAAGCACTTGAGCACTTTGGAGATAAGGTATGGCTCCTGGGAGTCCAACTTGCAAGCCTTCCTGGGTTATTGGGAGCTGGGAATGTGGAAGGGCACCTGGCCATGATTGATTTGGGAGTTGTGATGTGGCTTCACCACCACCACCCCCGGGCTTCTTCTGTGTCTCTCTGTGGACTCTCAGAAGAGTTACGCCTATATCTGGCTCCAAGTCTCTGTCCCTTAATTTTTAGTGAGCACACAGAATGTTGGCAAATCAAGCAAATGACTGGGCTGACCTCTGGTGCCCCCTTTGCTGTGTCCTGGTGATTAAGTACAGAGCCTATTCTGTTTGGAATTAGAGCAGTAGGTAGTCCCACAGAATCCACTGGCAGGCTGTGAAAACAACAGCTATGTTTATTAGAAAAGGAAGTGTGCAAAAACTAGCTTCTGAGACATTCTTTTTACCATTCCCTGCCTCCTTATTCCCCACCACTACCAGGTTCCTGAGTCACAGAAGGAATAAGTTCTAAGGAAACCACGCAGGTATAGACTTGGAAGGGCTCTTTGAGACCATCTGGTTCACTGGCCACATTTTCCATGCAAGGATACTGAACCTGAGGGACAGTAAGAGACTGCCCATGGTCAAGTGGCTGGTGAGCAGCAAATTCAGGGCTGTGGAGCTGGTCTCCAAGTTCTACATTCATTCCATTACCGAATTTTTTTCAAGGTGACCAAGAATCCTGGAAACTTTGCTACCATCAATATCATATTTGCCTGTTCCCAGGTGCAGAAGACAGGGCAGGGGTAGCAGGTGGCATTCCAAGTGCAGTAATCTCTCTGCTCAGCCACACAAAGATGGAATGATTTGTACTTCTCAAATGCTCCCACACACATTTTATGGAACACTCTGCTCAGATGGGGGTCACTGTACATGCACTTCCACTCTCCAGTCTGCCCAATACCTTCCTGTGGACATCTGAAAACCTCATCTCAGCCTTTGTTCTTCTTTGATAATCTGTAGAACCATTTCCTTCCTCACAATATGAAGGCAGCATAGGGTTGCTCAAGTAGGAGGCACATTTTATAAAGCTAACAGGCACACGATTTACTTTTGGCTCTTCAAAATGACCCTACAAAAGACCCTCACAGCCATGAGGTGTCTATGGCAGAAGGGACCTGGATCCCACCTGACTTCCCAGTCTCACTTCCAGCACTCCCTGCTCCTTCCCACCACCACACCATCCTCACCTGCACCAGGAGCTGCCAAAATACACTGCAGTATTGTCACCTCCATCCCCCACCGCTGCTCCCCACTAGTTATTCCCATGCCAGCTGAAATGTCAATTCTGCTGGAGAATTTCCCAGCCCCACCCCCATTCTAAGTACTAATGAACCCAGCCCACCCGTTTCCATAGTGCTGGGTTTCAACTTCAATTATGGTTTTGTTGTTTTATGGTATTTCAGAGAGCTGAAAATTTCCTCCTCCACCACCTGTGAATGCCTAGTGGTCAGGGGACACCTGCTCACTACATCTCTGTATCCCAGAGCAGCACCTGCCTTGTGTGCTCTATAAATACAGCCCTGGAGCAACAGGGAGTAGCAAGCTCTGTGGAAAATTATGGCACAGGGGAGAAACGTGCAGAAAAAGGAGGCATGGCCTCCAGGAAACACAAATGTTGTTCTTGGGACTCCCCTTCAAAGACCTCAAATGAAAAACTCTCCTAAGGAGGACCAGCTCCACTCACTCCCCTCCTACGCAAAGGGGCTCCCCAGCCTGAAGCTTGGATCTGGGTGTGGGACAGGAAGGGCCAAGAGAAGGAAGTCACCCTCAGCAGGATCTGGGCTGTAAGGCCAGTGGCATCTATCTCTATTAGGGTGTAGCAGGCCAGAAGTGGCCTTTGGAATCAAGCAGGCAGGCTACTGATCCCAGTCCTCCCTGTGTGGCCTTGGATGAGTTCTTTTTTATTTTCTCTGAACTTCAAATTTCTCATCTGTAATGTGAGCGTATCTGTCTCACTAGCTGTGAAGAGTAAAAGGACTACGTCCACACTGCGTTCTGTCTGGGCATGTGGTCCTGCACCTCAGTGAGCTGGAACTGACACCTATGCTTCCACACTCAGCTCAACTCAGCTTGGGCTTTCAGTATTTCGATTTTCAACTGTGTCAACTGGAGGACAGCTTCTCTGGGCCCCAGAGACCAGCTTCTTGGACCCTCAGCCTGCATCTTATTGTCTACTTCCTGGGTCCCCTCCTGCTCTAGCCTGCCACAGACCCACTGTGTGGCCATTACCTTTGGACCACTATGGCCTCTACTCTCCTCCAGGCAGGTGGCAGAGCTGACTGGCAAAGATAAGTGTTTTAGTGGGAGAAAGGACAGGAGTAACTTGAGACTGAGGGAAAGTTGAAAGGTTCCTGAGGATAAACACAACTTACATTAGCCCCCCACAACCATCACTTCTTAAATACCGATGAGAGGTTCCTTACCCAAGTCCAGGTATGGTGTCCTGAAGTGCATTTGGGGCATGCCAAGAACATCAGTCAGATGAAGCAGCCTTCTGTAACATTGGTCCTATCCCAAGCAGCACACAGTCAAGGTGACAAATCTAAGGGAGATGCCCTTTTGGAGGATATGAGCCTTGAGACCCACCTGCTCAAGCTTCTGCACCTCCTGTCATCTCAGCAGCCTCCTATCCCTTCATGTTTTCCTCTCAGAGGTCCCTGGCCTTCCAGATTTGGCCTCTCCATGCCTTGTTATTCCTCATGCCTTCTCTTCACTCTGTTTTACTTTGGACCTCAGGCACCTCTGCCCACACCTTGCCCTTCAGGTCTCACTTCCCCAAACTGGCTGCACTTGCTCTTAGCAGCACTTTTCCATTTGGCACCATAGCCACTGCTCCTGCCTTTCCAGCCAATGACCAGTACCACTGAGGGCAGGGACTGTCCTCATTCACCACAGCACTTCAGCACTTTGTTCATTTTCGTTCACTAAAGGAGCAGAACAAATACAATAGCTCCTCAGGCCACTGCCAGACAGGAAAACTGGAGATGGCTGTGACAGTAGACATGCAGCCCGGCAATCACCTGCATATGCCCTGCTCAAACACCAGGCATGTGATGGCCATAGGCTGCTATAAGCTGTGGAGGGTCCAGTGATGAGTCAGCACTCAGAATAGGGCAGCTTCCCTTTGGTGCTTCCAGGGAGGGAAAGTGGCACACTGCACAGCTGTCCTACTTAGCCAGCCTTCTTCCTAACATTAACTGTGCCATAGCACTGTGAACACTTGCATGACCTGGAATGCCCAATGGCATCAACCATCTTCTCAGGACTAGCAAGTGCAGGAAAAGAAAGCACCAATGTCACACTCAGGCCACGAGGACAGAAGCTACTACCTGAGTGGGAACAATTCACTCAGACACCAGACACCTTGCTTTTTTAATTTAAGAGTTAAAGCCAAGCTCAACACTGCAGGACAAAAAAGACAAGACAGCATCAGGATGACTAGCCAGCTGTCACTTGGTAGCTGTGGGGTCAAGGTCAAATGAGCCAATTTCCTCATCCGAGAAACAGGGATAACACTCTCAAGGGGCTGAAAGGACAAATGAGGTTAACAGATAACACGTGTGGCATAACAGAGGACATGCAGTGTGCACTTAATAAACTTAAAGGTGTCACCTGAGTAAAAGTACACATGATGCAAATCACCTTTGTGAGTTTGTGCTCTTGCTTGTGGTTTTGGACATTTCCTAATGAAATAGGAAGTAGCATAATCTCTACTTTATCCCTTTTATTTCTACTCTATAGTGCTCTCTGACCCTCTTTACTTTACTGTTGCTCTTTAAAGAAGTTTTTTATAGCTTGTTTTTTTTGTCTGTAAGAAATTGAAGCTGGATGATGGCTGGACTCTAAGAATAATGAAAGTGACGAACTGATGACCAGTACAGAGCCAGCAGCTATTGCAGAGGGAGGCAGCCCTGGGTCTGGAGCTTCCTGCTCTATGGACCTCTCTTGCTCATCTATCCTTCGGTTCTTTACCTTTCCTGCTTTAAGATGACATGATTGTATAAATAAACCAGACATTCTACTAACCGGCACTTCACTCAAAATTTTATCTGCAACAGCTCTGTCATCTGTATGGCAACAGCCCTCTGAACAGGGCACTGTCTGGGAAGGTGGAAGGATTGCTTGAGTCTGTCTAATCCACCAGCTTCGGGGAAACCAAGGATATGATACAAGGGACCATTTCCAGAAAAAAAGCTTCATCCTCACCCATCATAGAAGTCATCCCACTTTCAGGAGACTACTTCCTCAAAGAGGACTGCCCAGGGCTGAGGGGCAGCAGAAGCCAGGGGCAATGGCCCGAATACACATTGTCTCACAAAGAGCAGTTTTCACTGCAATGACTAGAAACATGTGGGAGAAAAAAGTCCTAATTTTGTAGAATGCCCAGCAGTCCGGGACAGAACTCTCCCTCCTTCCAGCCCATATACCAAGAGGCATCCATGGCAAGACCCGAGCTGCCAGGCCTTGGGGAGTGCACAGTACCAAGGGGGGAAACAGTAACATGCCAGCCAGGGTTCGGAAAATCGTGTTTATTATTCTGATCTCTGCTTTTCATTTAACACAGGGGGCTTCAATTTTTATTTTGCATGGTTATACTGTCTGAATGACTAGCTTGCAATCTAAGGAAGTTTTATGTTTTGTTCTTCCAAATGATTTATAAAAGGACTCCTCATTGACAAAGAAATTACACTAATAAAATGAAATCAAGGATGATCTGCTGGTACCACTGATTAAAGAGCAGTTCTCAGTGAGCAGTTCGCCCACCTTATAGCACAGAAGACCAAGAGTTAAAACTCCCTAGAAAAAGCAAGAGGCATCCACAACACACTTAGATAAAGGCGTTTGTCAACTACTCATCCACTCTGCTCAAGTGTGAGAGAATTACATGAGGTTAACATCAGGTGAATTATCTCATTTCTTCCTCTTCTTTGTGGAGTATAATTTCTCTTCAAGTGGGACCGGGACAATGCCTTCACATTCTTTTACTTCCTGGGTCAGAGGGTGTTTTACAATATTTGGTCTAATCACATCAATGTCTCGAGACAAGTGCTCCATTATGCTGTCCACAGTTGTTGTTGGGGCATAAAAATCCACCAAGAAATACCTGCAATAAAGTAAAATTCTGTGAATTCCTGCATCCTGAAATGCAACATTTCTACTATTTTGGTCAATGGTTTTAACTTTGGCCAAATGACTTAGTATGACATCAGATATAGTGGGATTATTATCAAGTCTGGGTGCAAGGACTGGCCTATGAGCAAGACTCAATTTTTAAACCATCTGTTGATTTTTGTCGTTGTTTGTTCTTTGTGAAAACATCTACTGGGTGGTCTTCTAATTTTCCACAGGATATTACAAGTGACTTAGTATGCCTAAGACATACAGCACGAATAGCCATACATCACAAATAAGGAAAAAAATTAGGAAAGGGATGAGTCTCATCTTAGACTTTACCCTGTATGTTCAAAAACTGACAAGGAATAAAAGGAAAATCACTTGAACCTTGGAAAAGAAAAAGTGTAAGATTCATCTACTCCTACCAGACTGATGCACTAGGCACTCCAGAGAGTTCACTGGTCTTAGAAGATCCCTCTGGATGATGCTGCAAGGCAAGAAGCACCCTCCCTCCCTGTTCACCCTCATTCTTTGTCCTGAATGTTTATGCCTCCCAAACACTGTCTGGTTGGACCATAAGGTGTTGAGAGGACCATATAACTAATATTCTTGCCAAACTCTTCTGAGAATTCTCAAGCATAGTTCCATCTGACATCGTGGCTCTCACTGCTCCTTCTGCTGGAAATGTTCTTTGTTCAAGGCCCACACATCATTCCTTACTTCCCCCATGTCTCTGTCCACATGTTGGCTTCTCAGAGGCCTTCTGACTTCTCCTAAAGAAGCCCCTCCTTGCCTCACCATTCTGCCTGCCCTATTCAGGGATTCTTCATTCCTTTCCCAGCACTTTATCAGCAACAGCACAGTACATATATTTGTATCCTGTCTGTCTCACTCCACTAAACATAACTGTCATAGGAAGAAGTACTTGTAGCTATCCCCAGTACCCTGGACAGAGACTGGCAAAGGGTGAGTCCAGAATAAGTCTGACAGTGGTAGTGTGCAGACAACCAATCACACCGAAAATGGGCAAGTTCAGCAAGGAAAGAAATAACAAACAAACAAACAAACAAAAAATGCATTATTCCATACAAAGAAGGTTAAAAACTTACAAGGAAATTTCCTGACTGATCATTCACTCTTTGATAAGTCTTGTGGGAAAAATCATTCAAGTAAACAAATAATTAATAGGAAAACTGCCAAGCAAAAACAGTAACCAAGAGAAAGCTAGAGTGGATATAGTAATATCACACAAAGTAGCCCTCAGAGCAGAGAAAATTACTAAGGGATAAAAGAGAGAATTCATAATGATAGGTTCACCAAGACGACCTGATCAACACAGATGTGTAAGACCAGACACAGGAAACAAGACTGGACAGACCTGAACAGACACAAATCCACAATGACAACCTCTCTGGAGTAATCAAGAACTAGTGCACAGAAAACCACAAAAGATATAGAAAAGTGAACACCAACATCAACCAACAGACATGTACAGAGCACTTTACTGATACTAGCACAAGCTCATCCAGAAAATAGGAAAACACATCTCAACATCTCTTATGAGCTGATGTTACCCTATGCCAAAGCCAGACAGACACCATAGAAAAAGAACATATCAATATTCCTCATGAACAAGGAAGAAAAAATCCTAAACCAAATTTTAGCAAATTGACTACTATATAATATATAAAAAGAACAACATAACACAACCAAGTAGGGTTTATCCCAAGATGCAACACTGGTTTAACGTTTGAGAGAAAAAAAAACCCCAAATACAATGTATTTCACGTTATTAACAAACAAAAAGAAAAACTACATAATTTCAATAAATATAAATTATAGTAGCATTTAGCAAAATCTCATGGCCATTCCTGATATAAATTCTCAGGAAACTAGGGATACAGGGGCTCCTTCTTCACCCTAATAAAGGGCATCTTTGAAAATCCTACAACTAGCATTTCACCAACTGATAAAAAGTCTGAATGATTTCCCCTTAAGACTGGGAACAAACAAGGATGTTTGTCACCTATTCAACATGCACTGGAGCTTCTTACCAATTCATTAAAGCAAGAAAAAGCAATAAAAGGCATCCAGACTGACATTTCTGCCTTGGTCTTCCAAGGCCAGGGAACTTTGTAACCACGTAGCTTATGTGAATTTCCTCCCTTTGCCTTTAAATACTTCCCTCTTTGAATACTTCAACCTCTTTGAATATGCACATACTAACATGCATTTACTATGGCACACATATTCTCACTACAAAGTTCTCTTATTTAAATAAATATTATTCTTTGGAGATTATCTGTGTTATTTAGATTGACAATGGATAGGAATTCTCTGTATTATTTAGATGTTGACTCTCCCCAAACTGACCTATAGATTCAATAGAATCTCAGTCAAAATCCTCGCAAATTGATTTTTAAGTTCATCTGGAAAAACAAAGGACCTACAACAGCCAAAATGACTTTGATAAAGAAGAATAATAAAGTTGAATGACTAACACCACCTGATTTCAAGACTTATAAAACAATAGCAAAAGACTTATAAAGCAATGTAAGACATACAAATGGATTAAAAGATCAGAGTTCTGAAATGGACCTATACATATGTACACAACTGGTTTCTGACAAAGGCACAAAGGCATTTCAGTGGACACAGGACAGTCTTTTCAGTAAATGGTGCTGGACCAATTCAGTAACTTTGTGCAAAGAAGTTAACTTTGTTCTGTACTTGTACCACACAAGAAAATTAACTCAAAACGGAACACAGATTGAAGAGTAAAACATCAAGCTATAAAACTTGAAAAAAAACACAAAGTCTTTGCAACCTTGGGTTAAGCCAATATTCATCAGCTATAACATTCAGAAAGCACAATCCATTCAAAGGAAACCTGATAAATTAGACTTCATCAAAATTAAAAAACTGTTCTTCAAAAAGACAAGCCACAGACTAGTTACATGTCTAACAAAATATTTATCTAGAATATAAAGAACTCTTAAAACTTAATTTTAAAAAAACCCTCAATTTAAAAATAATGCAATGGCAAAGAAGCACAGGAAAAATTGCTTAAAACTAATAATCATTAGTGAAATGAAATTAAAACCTGTTAGAATGGCTAAAATTAAAAAGACTGACCATACAAAGTGTTGACAAGTACGTAGAGAAATTGACATCCTCATACACACTAGGAGGAATGCAAGTGACAAAAACAACTTAAAATTTTTTTTGGCATTTTCTTAAATAGTCAAACATGTACCTGCCATTATCAAGCCATTGATGATATTAATCAAAGAGAGATTAGAGTATATGTCCACATACTGGTTAATGAGCAAATGTTCATAGCAGCTTTACATGTAACAACTCCAAATTAGAAAGTACACCCATATCATACCAACTGACATTGGTATACCACTCAGCAATAAAAAGGACTGAACTATTCATACATACTGTGGAGGAATTTCAAATTATGCTGAGTGAAGAAAACAGAGTAAAAAGAGTACACGGTTGGATTCTATCTGTCTAAGATCCTAGAAAATATAAATAACTGTAAAAGTGAAAGAAAGCAGAACAGTGGTTGCTTTGGGTGGAGAACTAAGGCGGGGTACCACCAGGGGCAAGAGGAGATTGTGGGATGATGAGTATGCTTATGGGCTTGATTATGGTGATTCCACAGGTGCATGCATGTCAAGCCTTATTAAGTTGTACGCTTTAAATATGTGCAGTTTATTTTATGTCAATTCTGACTTTATAAAAAGCTGTTGACCTAGAAATAGTATTTAGAACTGAATGGGCAGGACCTGGTAAAGGATGTGAGGTGGGGGTAGGGCAATAAGGGTGTAATTACAGCTGGTGCAGACTTTAGGTTGCTTGAGAAATGAAACAAAAATGGTGTAAACTCCTCTACTGTCTTGCCAGCTTCTTGACACAGTGATTTGCATATCTGCTCACTGATGGACTGCTATTTAAGCATACTCTAGAAACTACACACCAATTTTCCAAGGCTTAATTCTACTTGTTTACTTCTACTCTATATAGCACAGTAGAGGGTTGCAATCATCCAACTTATGAATGTTTAACATTCAATTATTGGTACTTAAATCTTAAGCAAGCCTAAAAAATAGGTGCAAACAATCTCAAATCATTTTGGTCCATGCCAACCCCAGAACCTTTTACCCATTCATTCATTTCACTTTGGCCACCTGGTAGCAGGCAGAGCACTCCCAACCAACACAGGCCCCGGTATTTCTTTCTATTCATCCATTTGTTCTTTCACTTAGTATTCCAAAGCACCATGAATGAGTTGTGGCCTCACTCTGTGTTCACAGCCCCACCACACTTTACTCAACAACAGTAGTTTTCCTCTGAACACATGCACATTCTTTGTCTTTTGTCTCTCGCGCTTTATTCCATATGCAGCCCTGTGCTGGCAAGGCTAGGTAGTACAAGGTAGAGGGAAGTGCTCAGCAGGAGCCTGGCCTGCTCTGCCTCCTAGTAACACAGCCCTCACCACTGCCAGCCTTGGAGTGTCAAGTACCCCAGCAAGTCCACAGGCATCTTCATTCTGTTGAGTGAAACTTGCCTTATTCAGCTTATTCAAATACCAATTCTGGGACTGTCTTGGTCTTATTTAAAATATCATTAATGGCAAGCACTGCTTTCTTCCATTTCCATTCGACTGCACCACACGTTAACGAGGCACTTTTGTGGGCTAGCCTAAGAGCATAAACATGTTCTAAAAGAATGTGTTTACAGTTGCCAACAACCAGCACAACCCTCTCTCATCAATCTTCCTCATCAGTGCTCACCACACACCAGCACTCACCATCCTAAGAAACACTCCTCCCTCACCCCAAGCTTGTCAATACCACATTATGGTAAGGGTGAAAAGAATACCCGAGGATAGAAGCTAGAGGCCCAGATATGGCAGAAACCTCACACTTCACAGCTTCAAAAGAAGAGTCTTATACTGCATTCTAATTTTCAGAGTGC